CTCCCCCCCCCCCCCCTTACCTCCCCCTGGTCTTCTGTTGAGTTTCTCAGAATCCACATATGAGTGAAAACATATGGTATCTGTCTTTCTCTATCTGACTTATTTCACTTAGCATAACACTCTCCAGTTCCATCCATGTTGCTACAAATGGCCAGATTTCATTCTTTCTCATTGCCAAGTAGTAATCCATTGTGTATATAAACCACATCTTCTTTATCCATTTGTCAGTTGATGGACATTTAGGCTCTTTCCATAATATGGCTATTGTTGAAAGTGCTGCTATAAACATTGGGGTACAAATGCCCCTCTGCGTCAGCACTCTGTATCCCTTGGGTAAATTCCTAGCAGTGCTATTGCTGGGTCATAGGGTAGATTTATTTTTAATTTTTTTGAGGAACCTCCACACTGTTTTCCAGAGTGGCTGCACCAGTTTGCATTCCCACTGACAGTGCAAGAGGGTTCCCGTTTCTCGACATCCTTGCCAGCATCTATAGTCTCCTGATTTGTTCATTTTAGCCACTCTGACCGGTGTGAGGTGGTATCTGAGTGTGGTTTTGATTTGTATTTCCCTGATGAGGAATGATGTTGAGCATCTTTTCATGTGCCAGTTGGTCACCTGGATGTGTTCTTTAGAAAAGTGTCCATTCATGTCTTCTGCCCATTTCTTCACTGGATTATTTGTTTTTCGGGTGTGGAGTTTGGTGATGTCTTTATATATTTTGGATACTAGCCCTTTGTCTGATATGTCATTTGCAAATATCTTTTACCATTCCGTTGGTTGCCTTTTAGTTTTGTTGATTGTTTCCTTTGCAGTGCAGAAGGTTTTTATCATGACGAGGTCCCAATAGTTCATTTTTGCTTTTACTTCCCTGGCCTTTGGAGACGTGTCAAGTAAGAAATTGCTGTGGCTGAGGTCAGAGAGGTTTTTTCCTGCTTTCTCCTCTAGGGTTTTGGTGGTTTCCTGTCTCACATTCAGGTCCTTTATCCATTTTGAGTTTATTTTTGTGTATGGTGTAAGAAAGTGGTCTCGTTTCATTCTTCTGCATGTTGCTGTCCAATTCTCCCAGCACCATTTGTTAAAGAGACTGTCTTTTTTCCATTGGATACTCTTTCCTGCTTTGTCAAATATTAGTTGGCCATACATTTGTGGGTCAAATTCTGGAGTCTCTATTCTATTCCATTGGTCTATGTGTCTGTTTTTGTGCCAATACCATGCTGTCTTGATGATGACAGCTTTGTAGTAGAGGCTAAAGTCTGGGATTGTGATGCCTCCTGCTTTGGTTTTCTTCTTCAATATTACTTTTAAAAGCCAAAATTTTAGAAACACTATTGAAATAAATATATCTGTGATTATGTAGTCAGTGAGAAAAATGTTTTAATTTATAATATTATCTATCAAGAAGGTTCACAGGGGAGTTAAAGGATAATGGTAATTTCTTGGCATATTTGTATCATGAATCTGAATATATGACAAATATTTTAAAAATTTTATTTTGTTTCTATATAGTAAAAACAATTTAAAAATAAACCACTGTTGGTAGGATTCTCTTATGGTCATTTAATGTATTATTTCTAAAACATTCCATTTAGCTTTCATGGAAATAATTCTTTCTTATACACCCATATGTAATTGTTTTACATAATATTTAATTGAATTACACAATTTCAGTAGCAAGTGTAACCAGCATAAGTCTGTTTGGGAGCAAACACAGTTGATTCTTCGTAACCATCTTCTCAAAGGTAGGAGGAGAATTTGATGAGCTTGCCACAATCTGTGATTACTAGCTGTGAGCACCAAGTAATAATGGGCATCAGCTAGGATGTTTTATAGGGTGAAGTTCACCCTGGAGTTGGCTAATTGCAGATTGGTTAAGAGCTTCTGCTGTGTACATGACTTCCTAGACATAACTTCAGAAACAAGCAAATATATATAAGAGTAAATATTATAAGGTAGAGAAATTAAGACACTATTTTTTTAAAAGTCAATTTGGGTTTTATTTGCCTTCTGTATGAAGTCACTTCATTCCTGCTTATTTGTGCATCTAAATGTTTTTTGAAATTATTTTGCTTTCCTTTTAACTTGGAAGATAATTTCTTTTAAAATGTGGTTTGTGAAAAGATGACCTACCCATGTCTATCTATTGAGTGAATACATTACTAAAGTATAAAAAAAAATCCTAAATTCTTTGTCTTATATTTAAGCTCAGAGGGTTATTGGAAACAGGTTGTACCCAGATTTTATATATTATTAAAACATTAAGTGCTTTGTACTTTGTGTCATAATTTCTCTATCTTTTTTAGAAGTCACAGCCCATTATACTGGCCTGGCGACTTCACCTGCTTCAGGGAAGGTGCACTTATTGAGACTATCTTTTCATTGTGCTCTGGTGAAGCATGATCTAGGATCTTGAGAAATCCTAGCACCTTTGGAGTGTTTTAGAGTATCTCTCAGTTTAGAGAACTATTATTTTTACAATTAGTTTTTTGGGGCATCTGGGTGACTCAGTCAATTAAGTGTCCAATTCTTGGTTTTGCCTCAGGTCCTGATCTCACGGTTTGTGAGATTGAGCCTTGCATCAGGCTCTGTGTTGATAGTGCGGAGCCTGCGTGGGATTCTCTCTCTCCCTCTTTCTCTGCCTCTTTTCTTCTCATGTATTTTCTCTTTCTCAACAAAAAAACAAAAAAACAAACAAAAACAAACCTTAAGATAAAAACCAATTACTCAAGTTTTTTATAAGGTTAACTTAATTATCAAATTGGAGCAGCTTTGTTTTTCCACAATATCTGAATGTGTATATACATAATGGTGCTGTATTAAAATCTAACCCTTTGCAAAGGTTGTAAAGTATGCTATCATAGATCGTATACAGGTCTGTATCAGTGTCATCTTTCATTCACTCATATATTTATTAAACAAATATTTATTGAGTGCTTCCTATGCACCAGGCATTATTTTAGATACTGGGGATACAATGATCAACAGAATACATAAAAAATTCTTACTTTTTTTGCATTTCTTTTTTAATTTTTAAAATTTTAATTTTTTATTTTATGTTTAGAGAGAGAGAGAGAGAGAGAGAGAGTGTGCATGTGTGTAAATTGGGGAAGGGCAGAGTGAGAGGGAAAGAGAGAATCTTAAGCAGGCTCCACGCCCAGTGCAGAGCCTGACCCAGTACAGGAACCCAAGCCTGAGGTCAATACCTGAGCTGAAATCAAGAGTTAGATGCTTAACTGACTGAACCACCCAGTCGCCCCCAAAATTCTTACTTCTGCAGGGTGTGACGGACTGTGTGCATGTGTGTGAATTACTATGAGGAAAACTAAAACAGAGGAAGGAGAAGAGGAATGAGGGGGAGTTGCAACTATAAATAGAGTCATCAAGGATGGCCTCACGCAGGTGACTTGTTATAAAGGGCGTGAGGAAGGTAAAAGAGTCTTGGGGAAAGAGTACTTCAGAAAGAGTGGACAGCAAGTGCTAAGTCCTGAGGCTGAGGCATGTTTCCCGCCATCCAGGAACTATCAGACCAATGTGACTAGAGTAGAGTGAGCAAGGAGGAGAACAGACACTAGTTCCTGTGAGGCCTCTGGTCTTGTAGGCTATTGCAAGGGCTTGGTCTTGTACTTAGAGTGTGCAAAGAAGCCAGGGAGAGTTTCAGATAAAGATGTGACATGATCTGGCTTATGTTTTAAGAGGACATGTTGCTACTCATGCTCTCATGAGACTAAACTTAGTGAGGAAGGGCAGAAATAAGGATACCAATTAGGCTATTGTGATAACCTAGATGAAGGATGGTAACTAGAGTGGTTATGTTTTGAAGGTGGAGTGGAAAAGATGTCTTGAGTGACAGAATGTGAGATGTGAGTGAGAGAAGGCAGTGGTGAATTGCAGGGTTATTTATTGACTTGTGCAGCTTGAAGGCTAGAGTTGTATTAAGTATAGGGAAACACTCATTTGGGGGGAAAGATCAGGAGTGCAGTTTTGGAGAGCCCAGCTGGCAGTTGGATATACTACTCTGGGTTTCAGGGCAGAGGTTCTGGACTGGAGGTAGACACTTGGGAGTTGTCAGAGTATAGAGACTGGATGAAATCCACAAGTGAGTGTAGGTAGAGAAGGAATGAGGTTCAGGACCCTGGGCTACACTGAGGTTGTGAGATGAGATGGAACCAGTAAAGGAGAATGAGAAAAAGCAGCTAATGAGGAGAGTGTGGTGTCTCATGAGCCAAGTGAAGAACCTGTGTGAAGGGCAGCAAATCAGATACTTCCAAGATGAGGGTCCAGAATTGACTGAGGAAGTTAGCAATGGGGATGTCACTGGTGAGTTTGACAATAGCAATTTTACTGGAGTCATAGGGACCAAAAATTGGTGAGGATTCAAGAGAGACCAGGAATAGAGAAATGGAAACATAAAATGTGGACAAATATCTTAAGGATTTTTGCTGCAAAGGGAAGGTGAGAAATATAGCTGAATGGAAAAGTGAGGTCAAGAGAGGTTTTAAAATGGGGAAAATAGCAGTATGTTTGCTGGTATAGGAAAGAGGAAAAAAAAGGAATGAGCTTTCATGTAGTAGCATAATTCTCATCCAGAAGAATGTTGGTTTTGTTTGAAACAGCTAAAATCATTTAGTTTACTATTGTAAACACTAACTCTTGTTAATGCAGTTTGTATTTTCAACATAAAAAGTTCTTTCTGGTCGTATCCATCAAACATCAAATTTTCTTTTCTGAGCCCTTAAATAAATGATGTCTTGATATGGATAGTTTCTGTTCATCTTATTTAGCCTAATGTAGTCCTTAGTTCTGCACTTAGGTTATCACAATAGCCTCCTAATTGGTATCCTTATTTCTGCCCTTCCTCACTAAGTTTAGTCTCATGAGAGCATGAGTAGCAACATGTCCTCTTAAAACATAAGCCAGATCATGTCACATATTTATCTGAAACTCTCCCTGGCTTCTTTGCACACTCTAAGTCCTTAGTTCTACATGGGCCTGAGGTACACTCAATTCACACTTTCTTCAGTAGCTGATGACTTTTTATATTTTTAAAGACTTTATGTTTTAAGAGCAATTTTAAGTTCACAGCATAATTGAGAAGAAGGTACAGAGATTTCCCATTTATCCCCTGCCCCTGCCATTCATAGCACCCCCTATTATCAACATTGCCCATTGAGGGGGACATTTGTTTTAATTGATGAACCCACACTGACACATGATAATCACCCAAAGTCCATACTTAACAGTAGGTGTTCACTCTTGGTTTTCTGCATTCTGTGGGTTGGGACAAATGTATAATAGTATGTGTCCTTCATTATCATAATAGAATATTTTCACTGCCCTAAAAAGCCCTCTGTACCCTGCCTATTCATCCTTCCCCACTGTTACAGCTCCTGGCAGCTGATCTTTTTATTGTCTCTATAGTTTTGCATTTTCCAGAATGTTATACAATTAGAATCATGAAGTGTGTAGCCTTTTCACTTAGTAATATGACTTAAGCTTCCTCCATGTTTTTTCATGGCTTGATAACTTACTTCTTTTTAGTGCTGAATAATATCCCACTGTCTAGATATACCATAATTTATCTGTTCACCTACCGAAGGATGTCTTGTTTACTTGCAAGTTTTGGCAATTATGAATAAAGCAGATGAAAACATTTGTATGTAGGCTTTTGTGTGGATATAATTCCTTTGGGTAAATACCAAGGAGCATGATTGCTCGTTCTTATGTTAAGAGTATGTTTAGTTTTGTAAGAAAATGCCAAATTGTCCTCCCAAGTGGCTGTACCATTTTGCATTCCCACCAGCAATGAATGAGAGTTCAGAGATGCTACTTCTGAGCTTATTTTTTTTTCCCCTTAGGTTTTGCTTCTGTTGTCTTCCTACTTTCTCTTATTTCAGTATTGAATCCTCTCTAGCAGGAACTTTTTGACTCTCAGAACATACTGCATTTCAGTATCTTCTGCCTTCCAACCTTTGCATTTTTATTGATCTCTGCATAAAGGCTACTGGCTTCTAGGTATTTGTTTAGTAATTAGGTAGCTGAAGAGACTCTAGGCACATTTCATTTGCATGAATGGCCCGATTTTTGGGTCTTACTTAAATCCCAAGGCACCACATACTGATATAAACTTCTCAGATGGCTCTGGAATTGAAGAGGTACTTATCAAAGATAATTTTTTTGTTTCTTTGGTTGAGGAAGAGTTTGAAGTTAATTATATATAAACTCTGAAAATCACTTAAGTTTTGCATTTAGTTTCTGCTATAATTTAGATCATATATATTGTCCTGATTTTAATTTTCATGAGGCCTATTTTTTAAGATCAGCTATATCAGTGCTAATGGAAATATGCAAGTTTTATATATAATTTTAAATTAAAAATTTTTCTGGTAACTGCCTTAAGCAAGTAAAAAGAAACAAGTGAAATTAATTTAAATAATGTGTTTTTACTTAACATATCATCGAAAATATTGTCATTTCAATATGTAATTGTTACAAAAATTATTGAGATGATTTATATCCTTTTTTAATCCTCAGTCTTAGAAATTTGTTGTGTATTTTATATTCATAGCATATCTGACATAACTAACCATATAACTTTAACAATAATGTGTTGATATTCACAAAGAGTAATGAAATAAAGAGACAAAACTGCACTTATTCTACCTCCAACTACTCTGCCTATAGATCTGCACTGTCTAATGTGGCAGTCACTTAGGGCCATTTGACGCCTGAAATATGTCAGATATGCTATGAATACAAAATACACAGCAAATTTCTAAGACTGAGGATGAAAAAAAGAATACAAATTATTTCAGTAATTTTTATGACAGTTACATATTGAAATGACATTATTTTAGATGATATGTTAACTATTGGTTAATTAATGTAGGATGGATTTTTTTACATTAATTTAAAAATCTACCCTAAAAACAAATAGGTGATTGTATGGAAAACAGATAATTATAAATATGCAGAAAAACCACTAAGGTGTGATTGATTTTAGCAGTGGCTAGCATAAATTAAAAATGGCTGACACGATAATAAGTTTTAGCAAAATTATTTAAAATAATTTGCTTCTTCAGATAACTTCTGAGTAAGTAGTTATAACAGCAACATCATTAAGAGTTTTAAAAGATGAGAAGCACCGTCCCAAACATACTCACATCCATTTTCATTTGATCCCACGAGGGCCCCCCCCCCCCCCCCCAGCCACCAATAAGGTAGGTAGGTACCATCATGACTCATGTTTTTACAGATGGGGAACCTAAGGCCAGAGAGGTTTAGTAATTTGCTCCAGGTTACACAGTGGGTAAATTGAGGATTCAGGATTTGAACTATAGACAGTCTGATTCTAGAGCTTACTTTCTTAAAGTCTGAACCTAAGGGGAAAAAAATAAGCTGAGAAGTAGTACCTCTGAACTCTCATTCATTGCTGGTGGGAATGCAAAATGGTACAGCCACATGGGAGGACAATTTGAAGATGCATCTTTAAATTATATGATTGAGGAGTAAAGAGTAGAGATTACTTGTTTTGTGAAATGAATATGTTCTAGAAATTTGAGCACAAATTAACTCTAAATAAATCACATTCTGTTTGCCATTAATTTGTCTTAATTTGAGGGTTGCTTTATCTTGATTTCTGACTGATCTTCAGTTAAAACGGAGCCTTAACACTTTATTATTCTGTCATCAACAGTTGATATTCATCAACTCTGACTTGGGGGAAAAACAGCTAATAATATGTAAGGTAAACCTTTAGTGTAAGAGAGAACTAGAGTTTGCAGCTTGATTGGGGAGATAAGGTTCTAATACTGATGAAATATTAAAACTTATTGAGAGAAATCCAGTAACAGTAGCAACAACCATTTATTGAGTGATTACTATATGCTAAGCATTGTGCTAATAAGACTTTGCACGTATTATCTTAATCATTAAAATGATACTGTAATGAATGTTTTTCTCTTCCTCAGTAAGTTACTTAAGTGCCAAAAGCAGTACCACTGCAGTTCAAAACAATTAGATTCTGTGAGAATTACTGTATTTGATTCTGGGGATCATATTTTAAGACAGACACTAACAGTGAAAAGGCAGTTAGGTAGCTGAGTGGTAGGTGAGTGATCAGAAAATAATGTGATGTTTAGGAGAGGTTGTAGAAACTGTAATCTTTAACCTAAGGAAAGAAGACTTAGTGGATAGTTAGTTGTCTTTAAGCATGTGGGACAATGAATGTGATCTGAAGAGAAACATGACTATGGGAAAGGAATACACTTTTCTGTCTTTCTGCAAAGAATACAGAAGAGAAATGAACAAAATAACAGATTTTTATTTCTGAATAAGAAAGAACTTTCTCAAGGAATGGCTTGACAACTAAACCAACTTTCTGTTCAGATGTGTTTGGATACAGACTAGGTCCTTACCTGGATATTTTAAATTGAATGCTTATATTTGGAAAATTTGGACTATAGGAATTGACCATTGGATGAGTTGTCCAGTTCTTCAAATGAAAGACCCTTCAAAGTTCTTTCCATTCTTGGGAATTTGTGATTTTGTCATCAATTATGTTCTGAAATCAGATACTTTTGTAATATAAATAATTATCTCGGTGTGTATATTAAATTGGAGATTGTGATTTAATAAGAAATCAGAGCTAAGTAGGATGAAATCTTGTAGTCTCACCTCATTTTGCAAATGGGGAAACAGAGAAAGTTAGAGAAAATAAAGCTCTAGTTGGACAAATAGGTATTGACTTCAGTTCCAATGCTTTTTTTTTGGTTACCATTACTAATGTATAGGTAGACTAAATCACTTACAGCACATTTTTAAAGGTCCCTTTTAATCTTATCCAGAGCTAACAGAATGAAGCAACTGTCAGTTCATTTTTTTAATTAAAATAATTCTAAAAAATGTTTATTTATCTTGGGGGGGGGAGAGCATGTGTGCACGAGCGGGGGAGGGGAAGAGAGAGAGAGGGAGACACAGAATCTGAAGCAGGCTCCAGGCTCTGAGCTGTCAGCACAGAGACTGATGTGGGGCCTGAACTTGGGAACAGCGAGTTCATGATCTGAGCTGAAGTCAGACGCTTAACTGACTGAGCCCCCCAGGTGCTCCTAGTTCATTTTGTTCTAAGCAGGACACACTTGAGTCCATTTTGTTGTTGTTATCTCATCCGAACTTGGAGCTCAGTGATTTTCCTAAAAACAAATTTCTGTTTCTTCATGGTGTTTTATTTCCTTGAAGATATATGTATGTTCACACTGAATACAGAAGAAAGGTACAGTGGGTCTGAGAATGTGTTGTTCATTCAACAAATATTTATTGAAGGTCTCTTGTGTGCTTTTCCAAGCACAACTGTACTGTCTTAGGCTTTTACTCTGAGATGGGAAACATCAAATTGTTTTCAGTAGAGAATGAGATTTGCTTTCTTCTTTTTCTCCTCCTCCTCCTCCTGCTGCTGCTGTTAAGGTATGCTGAAATATAAAAGGATTCTCCAAGAATTTCAGCCAGGTGTAGTCTGCCTTGATTTAGTGAGACACACCTTTTGGCTGGTAGGCACAAGATTGGAATAACTAAAGTTCCAGGTTTATATAAGCTATATATAAGTTCACATCAAGTTATGTAAGTAAGTTCGTAAGAAAACAAGTATAAACCTCTTGAAAATATTCTACCATATACCAGCTTGAAAAACATAACTTCGTAGTGGGATTTGACAGACCTGGGTTTGAATCCCACCTCTCAATGGTGATTTTATTTTGAAATGTACTAATTCACTGAGCTTCCTCATTGGTGAGGAAGTTTCCTCAGTTTCCTCATTGGTGACATGGGGATAAAATCTTTTTCATGGAACTTTTTGATGATTAAATGATTAAAATGAGTCCATGCATGTGAAATGCTTAGCTCAGTGCCTGGCACATTGTAAACATTCAATAAAAGGATGTAACTATTACAATGATAATTTACTTAAGGGAATTTTAAGAATGGGTAAGTTATTTTAAAGATTTGGGGTGCTACCTCAGAGCCTTAATTTATTTTTAGTTTAGTTGATGTCTTAAATACCTTTGTCTAAAAGTCCTGACATTGACACAGTGCTTAAAGTAATACCTCTTTCTTAACACTGTTTTGCATGCATATGAATTAATTCTTTCATATGTCATTAGCTGTTTTTGTGGTGTCACAGTGTGGCAAATTCTAGAACTTTCCTCCACATTCTACAGACCTTCTTATCAGTTTTGTATCAATTCTGGGGGTTTGGCTGTTGATTAAAGCAGGCAGGG